GCAGCCAAGGTTTTAGACTTCAAGTTCCTGCTAACATCAATAGACCTGACTCTGCCCTCTTCTAAGCTCCCACCTCAGCACTGCGCCTGAACTGATATTCAAGAGCATAAGGCTAAGGTGGGCTTGCAAAAAGAAGGTGACTTTTTTGTTTTCTGGGCATTTAAATTCAAAAGAATTTCTGTTCCTCTTATAAAAATAATAGACATTCATTCTAACTAGGTTAGCAGCAGAAGAAAGCAATCGTTGGGACATATGCTCTAAGTGTCATTCTGTGGGAGGAAGAGAGTCCTGGACTTGTATCTCTTAGTCCCATGGTTGCTTTTCTGCTTTTATGGTTCTCACTGAACCGGAAGGAAAAAGCCACAGAAAAAAAAAAAAAAAAAAAAAAGGAAAAACCCAAAAAAAAAAAAAAAAAAAAAAAACAAGAAAACAAGAGAGAGCAAGAGAGCTGGATAAAAAGGAAAACAAAGTCAGCTCAGGTTGGACACCTGAGGAGAATGCCAGGATTTTATTTTAATATTTACACCAGTGATTTTAAATAAACCAAACAGGTCCTCTTAAGAAGTAGATGGCTGTCAAATGGACTACACATACATGTCATTTCAACAGGAAAAATGCACCCAATTCTGAATTAGATGAATATAAGGCCCTGTCATACTCCAAGAGGAATAATCTCAATAACTTGATTTTGGAAACAAGGCTGGGTTCAAGTGGGAGCTGTTTGATGTTGGGCAAGATATTTTATACTACAGAGCCTCAGTTTTTTCATCTGCAAAATGAGAACTATAATAATTGATAACATTTCACTAGAATGAAAAGAAATAAGTGAAGACGGTTTTCCAGTGAAAGATTTAATTGATGCAAAACAGGTGACCTTCAAACAGTCCTTCTACTGTTTAGAGCTTCAATGATTGTGGAGTTTGGAATGTTGCAAGTCCAGAGCTTAATTACAAATTATCTTGGGTCATTTTTAGCCATGTGATTGTCTTCAGCCAATGAGAGCTGAGCAGCAGAGACAATTACTTCCAAACTGTAGCTTTAAAGAGTAGGTCCAGTGGTCCCCTCCTGTGAACAAGGAGCTGAGGTCCCTTCCTGTGAACTAGGATTGTGGGCCCCTCCAGTGAGCCAGAGTTGTGGTCCCCTCCCATGAATCAGGAACTGTAATCACCTCATGAAATTAGAGCTGAGGTCTCCCTCCTGTGATCTGGAGCTGTGGGGCCCTTCCATGCACATGGAGCTCTGGTCTCCTTTGATAAGCTGGAGCTGTGGTCTCCTCCCCTGAGCTAGAGTTATGGTCCCCTCTCATGTACCTGGAGCTAAGGTCCTCTCCTGTAAACCTGGAACCAAGGGCCCTTCCTCTGAGGTGCAGTTGTGGTCCCTTCCTGTGAGCCTGAACTATGATCCCCTCCCATGAGCTACAGTTGTGGTTTCTTAAATCCCATTTTTATAATTAGATGTTTTAATTGTTTATGATAGTCAATATTTTACTTGGTATATTCCTTAGTGATAAAATAGCATCTTAGTTTTAATGAACTTATAAATAAGGATATTATTTCCTTTCACTGATTATGATTTTCCATTATGATTGGTCACCCAAAACCCCTACTGTACTTGAACTAATTTTCATGTTTAAAGGATTTTTGTGTAACCTGCATTCCTTGCATGTGGCCTCATGCACACAACTACAACTTTTGGTAACACGAATGCTAGATACTGTAAGAAAACAGAAAGGTGGTATATGCCGGGAGAATGAAGAAAGAGGTTGTTGGACCAACTCAGCTTGTACTCACCTTCACTTTGTGATGTTTTCTACAATTGTATTTGATTTGATTCTTCTTTCTTCCTCTTTTTTTTCATACTATTGAGTCAAAAGCAATTTTAAAGATTGCTAATTGTTTACATGACTTTTAAGATAATTGCTTTTATTACCCCCCCCCCTTTTTTTAGAGAGGGTCTCTCTGTAGCCCTACCTGGCCCTGAACTCACTATATAGACCAGGCTGACCTCAATCTCATAGACATTCCCATGAATGCCTCCCAGAGTGCTAGGATTAAAGGTGTGATCACCACACCTGGCTGAGATAGTTATCTTTTTAAAGAAATCCTGACGTTATAAAATAAAAAGCCAAAGCAACAAGTTTCTAGCGGTGGAATTATAGGTACAGTGACACCTGGGGATGCCATTTTAGATATACTGTTCGGCAATTCATCATTTGGTGGGGTAGCTTTTCTCAGGAAGCCCCATTTTCTCCAGGGCCAGGCAAGTCAGTAGATCTAGGTATCATTCAGTTCTTAAGAGAATGCAGTGTGAACAAATCCAGGCCTTGCCTTTCAACCCTCTCTTTTGTCATGGCAGTTGACTGTCAAGTTCTTGGTCAACGGTCAAATTGAGCTGCTCTGAAATTGTCAAACACTGCTAGATGCTCAGCTCAACATTTTTTTTTTCTCTTCTTTCTGTTACTAAGAGAACATTGATTCTCTACAAGGTGAATATGAGCCCAGTTAAGATACTCTTTATATTCCCTTGTAGCTAGGTGTGACCATGTGACCAAATTGTGCCCATTCAAATAAGGATTAAGTTTTGACAGTATCCCTTTCCAAATAAAAAAGCAAAGCTTAGCAAGGAGGTGTTGTGCTTTTTACCCTTCACTGTTTCTGGAACACATATTTGATCCCCCAAAGAGGCAACCATTTTTTAGCCCTGAGGAATAAGCCTTACTAATTAAGAAGACACACGTCTGAATTCTCTGAAGATGGAAGTTATCATACGAAAGTTTTCAGTATGTTTTCAGACTTATTTTTGCTTGAGAAAAAGAAACTCTTTTTTTAGGTTAAATCACTGAGGTGAGATTCTGTTATAAGCAAGAAAGAACCCCAGACTAAACAGCCTGCAGGCTCAAGAAGTCAATAATCTGTATCTCATTCACAAACAGGAGACTTAGGCTCCTCCCTGGGCTGTAAGGGAACGGAGCTAAATAATACTGATAGGATCCTGGTAGGAGGCAATAGGACATGATTACAGAAATACATTATAAAGACATAGCAGTCTTTTAAGCAGAACCTGTAAGGGGCTAGTCCCACTTCTCTGTTCTTAGAAGCATCTGCTCCCTCCAGAAAGATGAGACTTGCTCATTCATGAGAAAAAAAAGTGTAAAAGGGTTAATAGGGTGTCCTCAGGTCCTATTTGTATAGAAAAGGCCAAATATATGTGTGATTGTTTTCTTCTTTCTAAAACAGTTTTTGAAATGATGAGTTGATTTCCTCTCAACCATCAATAGTTTCCAGTCTCTTGGGTTGTTTTGGAAGCACTGTGATCTTGAAGAATTGCAATAAGCTTTTGATGATGTTCTAGTTGGTTCATCATAATCCATGGGAGCCTCTCTGCATCATTTCAAGTCTTTTTGACGTCATCCTAGTATTAGCTGATTGTTTCCTTGCTTTCTATAATGACGTGCTGCCTGAGATTGACTTTATGATGGGGACACCAGGTAAAGGGACAGGTATAAAATGCAGCTGGCCAGAAGTTAGTAATTTCTCAAGGTCCCATAGAGGTTCACTGTATTTTTTTCTTACAATATTTGTATGTTTGAAAATTCCCAAAATAAAAAGTAAAGCTTCTTTTTAAATTTTTTTATTTTTATTTTATTTTAATTTTTTAAAATTATTTTTATTTTATGTGTATGCGTATATTGCCTGTGTGCAGGTAAGTGTACCCGTGTTGTGCAATGCCCACCCGTGTCGTGCAATGCCCACAGAAGACAGAAGAGGCTGTTGTATCCCCTGGAACTAGAGTTATGGACAGTTGTTAGCTGCCATGTGGATACTGGGATTCGAACCCAGGTCTTCTGCAAGAACAACCCGTGTTCTTAACCGCTGAGCCATCTCTCCAACCCTGATTCACTTATTAGTTTTATTTTATGTGTTATGACTGTATTGCCTTCATGTGTGTAAGTGCACCTGTCATGCAATACTGGTGGAAGTCAAAAGAAGGCAACGGATTCACCTGGAACTGGAGTTACTGACGGTTGCCTGCTGCCCTGTATGTGCTGGGAATCGAACCCAGATCCTCTCAAGAACAGCTGGTGCTCTTAACCGCTGAGCATCTCCTCAGCCCAACAAGGTTCTTTTTAAAAGTTCAGCCCATGGCTTTCAAAATAGAAATGTTAACTAACTCTTTAGTAAGACAGTAGTCTTGAATGCCTGGCTTTGCTTGAGGGAAAGGCTCTCAATTCCCAAGGCACTCCTGGGCAAGGTCAGCCCAGAGGTCTGAGTCAGTCTCTGATGAGCTGAAGGACTGATGGGGTGGAGGCCAAGGAGGGGCCCCAAAGCACGGGAAATCTCCCCTGCCTCCCAAGCTAGGACCTCTTCACCCAGTGGTTTGTACAACCTCCTGCTCACTGCCTTGATCCCCAGGGAGCTGGCCTCACTGTCTCCTGGTCCAGGTGGTCTTTGCATACAAGACAGGAAGAAGCACTGGACTAGGAACCTGGGGGCAAAATCTGAATCTTGTCAGGGACACGAAATGACCCCGTGTCTTGGGTCTCAGTGACATCACGCAGTTCATGAAAGAATAGTCTTCCAGACTAAAGACCCTTCCGCGCCCTCGCCCTGCAAACAGGCATCTCTAAAACTGCAGGACCTGGGAAGCCTGCCCCAAGGCCTGGACCTTTCCCATGACCATCTTTCCCACCACTGCACATTAAAGAGCGACTGCTGTCACTGCAGCTAATTGGAGAGGAGGCGCCCAGCACAGGTGACCCTGAAGTTGACATCACTTTCGGGCTTTGTGAGGCGGGCGCGTCACTGACCCGTACGCTTGGTTTCTCCTCTCTGCCCTTGCTCACCCGCACGCCCCGACTCTGTCCCCACTGCGGAGAAATCCTCCGGGCAAGGCGGGCGTGGCCGGCGCCGGCGGTGCAGGGCGGGAGGCGCACGGTGGAGGGCGCGGAGCTGCGGCCGGCTCCCGCACCGCCTGCGGAGAGGGAGGGGCCCGGGCTCCAGCGCCGCCCGCCGCCGCTCGGTGTCCTCTCCAGCCCAGCCCCGGCGGCGACAGCAGCGGCCGGCGCGAGCCTGGGCCTCGGAGCGGCCGGCAAAGGCCGGCGCGCTAGTGCCGCTCACCGACGCGGGTAAGTGCGGCGGGCTGCTCTGCAGCGGCGGAGGTGCGGGGCCCGGATCCGGGGGCTCACAGGTGGCTCCGCGGTGGATGTGGCGCCCCAGGCCGGCTTCCTAGTTAGCCAACTCTCTCCGAGCCCCCAGCTGGCCCACCCTGCCCTGGCTGGAAGTGGGGGCGCCGGGCAGAGCCTGACTTGGGAGGCGATGCGCACAGGGGCGCTCCTTCCCCAGACATCCACCCCGAAGGCGTCGCGGCTCCCAGCTCGCAGCTGGGGTGGCTACCCTTCGGTTTTATTTTCTTATTAACCCGCCAGGGGAAAAGTTTATCAAAGCCGAAGTTGGGGCGCAGCTGGGGTCTGTGGAGGTCACATCCCAAGGAATAAGGCAGTGGACCTGCAGGGAGATCTTGCGTCCAGGGAGTCCAATCCTGCTGGTAGCCTTGGCCCGACGCTGTGACAATCCCTAGAGCGCAGCGTGTAGCTTAATCATGGGTGCTGAGCTTAGACAACTGCAGCCAGCCCCAGTCAGGAGTCTGGTGGGTTTGGGTTATCCCAGGAGCAGCGGCAACTCAGCCTGCATTGGATAGCAGCAGTCTTGCTCTGCTCTGAAAAACTGAGATCCAGCGAATCCCACTGTTTAAGTGGCTTGCGTTTAATCAGCGTATTTTTCACCTGAGATGATCTCAGCAACGCAGGACGAAAACAACCCCACAGTTTTGAAAGGATAGTTTTAGAAGGGAACGTTTCACTGGAACAGCGGTGGTGTCCAGTACTTTACCCATCTTTTCTGAGGAGTAGGAAATGAAAACTGATATCTCACGTAAAAGATCCGTGTTGGAGCTACTGGGGGCAGATTTTATGAACAGAGCTATTACTGCAACTTCCGTTTGTTTATGAAATACACATTTGGCCTCTTGAAATAGCCGCCTGGTCATCTCGCTGCACTGAGCTTTGTTTAAGCTATTTAAAATAGGGCTAAAGGTGTGGGTTTCTGTTGTTTAAGCTTTAGCTGAAAGCCATGTTTTGATGGTCTAAGAAAACAGCTTGTTCATGTCATCAGAACATTTTCTTTTGAACATCTAAATTTTTAGAGAGCTGTTTTACTGTTTCTGATAGGAGACACTTTGATGAAAAATAATATCCTGGGATTGTTATAGGTGCAGATAAACATTACCTCGTCCCAAACTCAGCCTTCTGCAAATGATAGGTTCAATCAGAAAATTCACCTACAACAGGGAATTATATAATTGTTCTAGAAGAAAACATAATGAATAGTCAGTTGTCAAGAACTTAGATAGTTCCAAAAGAAGTAGAATCTTTTTAACACTGGAAGATGTTATGTGATTTCAGATGGATAAATTGATTTCTGTAAAAATTTTTAACTTACATACATCTCCACCATCTGCACCTAACATTGGATTTACCAAAGTGTTTACATGGGTTTATACATATGTGAGTGTAAGTGCCTACCACATGCCACTTCCTCATTTGAGTGCTGCCTATGTTTTAATTCATCTTGAAGCAATTTGTGAGGATGTAGCTCAGTGGCAGACTATTGCCTGGGATGCTTGAGGCCCTGGGTGATCCCTAGCATGCACACACACACACACACACACACACACACACACACACACACAGACAAATGGGGACAATTATAGTGCCTGTCACCTAGGTCTACTTTTAGTGTGTGTGTGTGTGTGTGTGTGTGTGTGTGTGTGTGTTTCTGTATGTGTGTTGCTAGGGATCAAACCTAAGGCTTTACACATGCTAGGCAGGCACTCAACCACTGAGCCAATTTCCTAGCCCTGGTCTCCATTTTTAAATTAGGGGAACTTGGGGCTGGAAAGATGGCTCATCAGTTAAGAGCACTACTACTCTTGCAGAGGACCTGAGTTCATTTCCTAGCAACTATATCCTGTGATTCACAACTGTGTGTAATACTGGCACCTGGGAAACTGATTGCCCTCTTCTGGATACCATGAGCACCTGCACTCACATGTGAACATACCTCCCCCCACACATACACACATAATTAAAAGTAAAATGGAGAAACTAAGGAATTAGTAACTTCCCCATGATCACATACAGCAGAATAGGACTTTATCATATCTGCAAAGTTATTTTTAATAGAAAAAGAAGATTTCATGATTTACTAATCTTTGTTTTTGTCTTTATTAAGCATAGGTGGTAAAGATTCCCCTTGAAGCATAAGAATCCCAATTGTAGAATTACCCAACAAGCACCAGTAACTAGAGAACAAGGAAAAGTATGACAGAGCTGTCTGGTTGAGTCTGAAGTATAAAGACCGCCACACCCAGCAGAAGACCCAGGATGGATCTGCACCAAAGCACCACCATCACGTTCCTGGAAAAATGGTGTTCCAGTGACTCAGCATCTGGCTGCAGGAGACATTATAATGTCAGGAAAAAACTGAAGCTAATTCGCATCCTTGGCCTTCTCATGGGCCTGGTAGCCATGAGCACTGTCCCATTTTCAATCAGTGCCTTTACTGAAGCAGACACTCAAAGCAACACAGGAGAGGCCAGTGATATAAGTGGTCCTAGAGCGGCACAGGGTCACCGTCAAAGAACACTCTTAGATTTAAATGACAAGATTCGAGATTATACTCCACAGCCACCTGTTTCCCAGGAAAACAAAGCTGAGAACAGTACCAATCATGCCCAGGGAGACTACCCGAAGGACATCTTTTCCCTCGAGGAGCGAAGGAAAGGTGCCATCATCCTCCATGTCATTGGCATGATCTACATGTTCATAGCCTTAGCCATTGTCTGCGATGAGTTCTTTGTTCCTTCTTTGACTGTCATCACTGAAAAACTGGGCATCTCTGATGATGTGGCTGGAGCCACCTTCATGGCTGCGGGCGGGTCGGCCCCAGAACTTTTCACGTCCCTCATAGGGGTCTTCATTGCTCACAGCAATGTTGGCATAGGCACGATTGTAGGTTCAGCAGTGTTCAACATCCTCTTTGTCATTGGCATGTGTGCTCTGTTTTCTAGAGAAATCTTAAACCTGACATGGTGGCCGCTCTTTCGGGATGTGTCCTTCTACATCGTAGACTTGATCATGTTGATCATATTTTTCCTGGATAACGTCATCATGTGGTGGGAAAGCTTACTGCTCTTAACAGCTTATTTTGCCTATGTGGTTTTCATGAAGTTCAACGTCCAAGTAGAAAGATGGGTGAAGCAAATGATAAATCGCAATAAGGTCGTCAAGGTGACAGCACCAGAAGCCCAAGCCAAGGTTGGTGGAGGTGGTCTGTAGTGTTTACTTAGCCATAGTTCTAAGCTAGCATGTTTTTGAGATCAGCAGCTGTTTTTCTTTTACTCTAGGCTGGAATGGGTAACAGATTGCATTCTGCAATTTTGTGAGGGCGAATGAAAATGGCAATAAAAAAATTAATTAGGGAGACATTCTTCTAGAGGTCTACCATGTTCCCAAGCCACTTGCATCAGAGTTTTAAAAATTATAAATACAAGTTACATAAGCATTCCAGAGCACACTCAGCATTTACTTGTTTATTTTTGTGAAAATGGACCCAATGATTTTGTGAGCAATTTAGTTTTTATAGGTACCAGTGTATGTTTTTGTCCAATGGCAGAGGTTTGCTTTTTAAATGACTAAGTGATGAGATCAAGAGCTGTCTCTTTAAAGATGTTTAGGGAAGAAAGTTTGTTTCATCAAAACTCTTCCTTTCAGTCAGCAGCCCATCTGCTCCTCAGCAGTTTAGGTTATTAAAGTGGCCATAGCTATTTGTCTTTTTCTTTTTAAATTCAATTTTATATCATAGTCTGGGGCCTCGTACATTGGTAGGCCAGTGCTCTGTGGGTGAGCAACACCCCCAGGCCTAGGACTATTTTTTTAATCCACACAACCTTATTTGAAATCGACCAGTATCGGCTGTAGAGGGAGTCACTGATCAGCCCTACCACCTCCATACTGCAATGGCCCATTTTGCACACCACAAAAATGACCCAATGTACTTTCACAGGAGAATTTGAGGCAATATTGCTTAATTGGGAAGCAGATTGGTAAAGAGCTTAAGAGAAATTGACCTGAAGAAAATGTAAAATTTGAAAGAGAAGCAATAGAGAATCATAATAAAATTTATGCAGTTTCATAATTATGTAGTATTCTGAGTTATATCATAACCATAAAATATGGTCTTTGAATGCAATTTTAACATAAAACCCAAATACATACACAAACTTATTCTGCTTGCATCTGGGAAAATTCTCACATGTATAAAAAGATTTTTTAATAAGAGGTAAGAGATTTTTCCATAAAAAGAAGAAAAATATTTAATTAAATTTATATAATTCCCTTATAGTTGAGTTTGATGATCATCATTTTTGTAGTGGCCATATAACAGAGGCAGATAGAAGAAAAAAAAACACTAGGAATAGCTACACGAACATATATGTAGATATAATGTACATACATATATATAAATACATGCAGAGGAGAGATGTTTCCATTGTTTTTATTGTGTCTGTGCATGATGGAGGGGCACATGTGCTACATGCGTAGAGGTAAAAGGACAACTTTATGGAGTCAGTTCTCTCCCTTCAGCTTTGTGTGGGTTCCAGGGATCTAACTTGGGTCACCAAGTTTTCACACAAGTGCCTTTACCTGTTGAGCTGTCTTACTGGTCCCATGTTTCATACTATATTTTTATAGCCTTTCAGTTTGGGGATGCTTGTTAAAAACTGTGGTCTACAAAGTTGTTTAACACACTATATAGCAAGCATGCATTCACATGTGACAACTGAGGGCATGCCCTTCACAGCACCTGACACGGCCATCCCTGGAGCTGCTGTCTTTGCTCTGCCTGAGTAACATAAAGGTTGGTCCCTCAAGCCTGTTTGAGTAGTTTGCTTAATAATCTGTGGTTTATTCCACTCAGAGTGCTGGATAGTTGTCAAGGAAAGCCATATTTTTGAGAAGCAAGGGGATGATTTGACATCTTAGAAATACACTGAATGTGTCAACAGTAAAAAGTCTTTTGAAGAATTCAGTACTCTGGGGCTTTTTATGCTACGGTGGACCTTCTTTAATTTAGACACACAGTTGGTTGACAGTTATATTTGCAGCCTTTATAAGAAAAGAGCTTACAGAACAATCCATTGGAGCATTTTGCATTCTGATCTTACTAGGGTAGGAATGGATGCATGCAGAAAATAACTTTTTAACTGCAAGTTACAGAGTGTACTCAGCCAGTTATAAACTATTCATTGATGTCATTTTGGCAGAATTTTTACCTGCTTAATTAGATGACTGTCATGTCACTTTTCTGATAACTTATAAGTCAGAAATTCAGGCTGGAATTCCTTAATAGTTGTCATTTATTTCTATAATCCTATGCTACACTTAATATTGTGTCCTTTTTAATTTGGAAATTCTGCGTATACCCACTTTTAAAAGAAAGCTTGGTATAACCATAATTATTTATCCTGTCTACCCCCGTATGTTTATTGTACTGTTTTCCTTTTGTGCCACACAGTTTTAATTTATTCCATTTCATCATTATTCTGACATTTGATAAATAATAGGAGTAGAGAAATTTTTTTCCTTAACAGAGCTATGTCTTGCTTGATATTCCCCTAAGCGCTACGGTGCAATCATACATTTTCCAGCGGACTAGTATGTAAGAATGTGTGACTTCCTTCAGGAACTTTCACGATGGCAATTTCATTTTTGAAACACTGCTGGGAATTTTTTTAGAAATTGCACCCCTTATCATACTCCTGATTTTGGGATCCCATAGAGGCTTGCTCCCCAGCACTGAACGCAGATATCTCAGTAGGGCTACATTTCTGAGTATAGCTCCTAGCCCTTCAGGATGCTGAGCCGACTTCTGCCTTTGCAACAGATATCAGTGCTCTGATGTCATTAGAATGCTTAAGAAGAGAGACCCTACTCCCAATGTACCCCACTGAAATCTGCATGGAAAGGAGTACACTGTCCAAGCATTCAGAGAGCAAGTGTCAGGTTTTCATGTAAAGTCTCCTCATTGCTTTGTTTGTGCAATCATGGGCATGAGTGAAAAAGAGTGAAGCACATTTTAGATAGTCTTGCACAGATCATCACACAGTTCTTGCTACACAGTCTTCAACCCTGCTGGATGCAACACAGTGAAATAGCTTTCAAGTGTCTTATTTAAATAGAGAAGTTGAAAATCTTAATTTGGCTCCTATGATCTGTACCAAGAGACAATGAACTGTAAACCTGGAAAAATGTCAGTGGGTATTTATTTTCGTAAAGAATTGTTACCCCCTGATTGTTTTTCATTTTATAAACTTCCTTTAGTGATACTGTTACCCCTTTGAGAAAGTTGTGTTCTACCATGGCATGATGGAGAGACCCCAGGGCTTTGACCCAGACAGGAAAGACTTTTAAACCCATCTATGCAGCAAGCCCAGTAGCCTCAGAGGAGTTACTGAAACTCGGCGAGCCTCAGTTTCATAATTTAGAAAATGAAAATAACATCTACTTTATAGGGTTGAGAAAATTAGTAACTGAACACATGAAGGTTAAGCATCTAGTGTAGTCCTTGGCAAATGTGGCTAGGTCAGTTAGTTAGTTCCCTTCTTTTACAGTTCCATTCTTAAATGAAGTGTTTCAGAAATAAATCATTTCAAATTTAAAATTTATAAAACATTCCTTAAAGGCTAAATTTACTCCAGGGGATCACTGAGTTCAATAGGTTGCTATACCTCCAGGGGCATATATTTTCCATATTATAATATTCAAAACCTCTGGTTCATACCCAGTTTGCATGTTATCATTAACTCCAATACTTCCAGTATCCAAACCTCAAAATACTTTTTTTGTTTGAAATTTTATTGTACAGAATTTTACTTGAAATAAGGAGGCCATTTGGCAGGGGTTCAGAAATATCAGTGTGATGTAGAGACTTTTGTTTCAGGGCATTTTAAATTATGAATAGGACCCTCTTCTTCAAACCCCTTTTTATCTGGTTAGTCATAGATTTGAATGGCACGGGGTGAAAAGCTATCTCATTTTAGGACATGCACACATTTTGTGGAGTGCCTGGGCTGGCTGCTGGGATCCAGTTTTTGATATGTTACCCTGCTAGGTTGTCACTAGCCCAGAAAGCAGCTGTCCATGGTATTTAACTTCTTAGACTTGGCACAGTAATCTGACAGCAAGTCATCCAGGTTCTAATAAAGGGAGTGTTCTAAATAAAGATGCTTAAAGCTAGATAGTTGGGAGAGCTAGATTCTTTAGTAGTCTGTGTGTACCTTGCTTTATTCAGTCTAGATGCTCCTGGACATTGAAAATAGTTTTTGTAGTAGAAACTTAGTAATGATCTTGGGAAAATTAGAATTAAAACACTATAAATATTCCTTACACCGTATTTCTTGTACTAAATCCTAAATGATTTTATAAATACTCATGTGTTGTCCAAAGCTTATTTGATTCAGAATGTATTTAAAAATTCAATGCCTTCCAAACCTAGTAAATAAATTGACAAAACTGTTGTACAAACATCAAGACAAGAAGACACTTACATAAATAAAAAGATCTTATTTCTTCCCTCCTTCCTTTCCTTCCTGATCTTATGTAACCCAGGCTGGCCTTGCTACCTCAAATCCTCCTGCTTCACCTTCTGGGTACTGGTGCTGTGCCATCAAGCCAGGCAAGGATATATTTTTGATAGATGTGAAAACCAATTATCTTTTTGAGAAGAAAGAAAACTTAGGCATTAAAATCCTTAAATATCTAGAATTCTATGAACATTGTTTGCTCCTTTAGATGGAGATACAGGATGGTGATTTTTTTAATCCTGTTTTCTGCTATTAATCAGTAGTAATTAGGTGCAGTTCAGAATGAGTGAGACCTTTTGAGAGACCCCAAAAGTCAAGTATATTGTAATACATCCATTACAAATTGTCCTTGACCATTCCCCTAACTACTGCGATTTCCCCAGGCAAGAGATAGCTGTCCTAAACCGTTAGTCTTTTGGAAATGCAGAGAGCAGTTGCCATGTCATCTTTTCCACCTTTCCTCCTTTCCTGGATTCTTGTCTCTCCTGCCCCCCTCCTCACCTACCACCTCTTTTTAGGTGAAACCAGACAGTTGCAATTTGTGTTTTAACTTTCCCAAAGCATGGGGGTGGGGCTGGAGAGATGGTTCAGCAGTTAAGAGCTCTTGTGCAATCATAGGTTCTGAAGTTCTGATTCCAGCACCCATGTAACAAGCCCAGTCTAGGGTACATG